CCTAAACCCTAAACCCTACACGCTAAACCCTAAACCCTACAAGCTAGACTCTAAGCCCTGCACGCTAAACCCTAAACCCTACACGCTAAACCCTAAACACTACACGCTAAACACTAAACTCTAAAACCGTAGACCCTAGACGCTAAACCCTAAACCCAAGAGGCTAAACCCTAAACCCTAGACGCTAAACCCTAAACCCTACACGCTGAACCCTAGACGCTAAACCCTAAACCCTAGACCCTAGGCGCTAGACCCTGGGAAGAGAGCTGCAGTTATTTTCTTGTTGGTTTCTAAGCGGAATGCTGCTGCTGCTGCTGCTGCTGCTGCAGCTGAGTAGTGTCTGCACGTGCAGCCTTTGTATTTTTTTCGTTTTTCGAATTCCCTTTTATTCTCTTGCCACTTCTTTCACTTTTATTAAATATTTGCTGATTTGGGATTTAAACTGGCGAAAAGTGCTTTCTTTTGCTGCTGCAGCAGCCACTTCTGGAAGAGCATTTCCCCTGCTGCTGCTGCTGCTGCTGCTGCTGCTGCTGCTGGAGAAGTCGTGGTGGACCTTTTTGCTGGCATCGGCTTCTTCGCCCTTCCCGCCCTCGCCTTTTGCCCGCCCCACAAACTCCGCAAACTCTACGCCTGCGACCTCAACCCCCACGCCCTCAAAGTAGGTGCAGCAGCAGCAGCAGCAGCTGCTGCTGCTGCAGCTGCTGCAGCAGCATTGCTGCAGCAGCTGCTGCTGGGGCAGGGGCTGCAGCGGGTGCAGAGTTTGCAGCGGTTTTCTCAGCAGTCCAGCAGTGGCAGCGCTAGTGGTAGCTGCTGGAGCAGTAGCAACTGCAGCAGCTGCTGCGGCAGGGGCAGCAGCAGGAGCAGCTGCTGCTGCTGCAACTGCAGCAGCTGCTGCACGCATAAGATTGCCCACATGCTGCACCGCATGCATCAGGGAAGAATTTCCGATTTTCCTTTCAGCTGCAGATGTTCCACCTCGCATGCATGAGTTTGCTGCTTCTGCTGCTACTCTTGCTGCTGCTGCTGCTGCTGCTGCTGTGTGTTCTGCTGCAGTTCTTCAGTGAGGCGCTGCCCGTCAACCGCATAGACCCCAAGAGGGTGACTTTTCTTTTGTGTGACAGCTTCGCGCCTCCGTCCGGTCCAGCTTCTGCTGCTGCTGCTGCTGCTGCTGCTGCGGGCGACGAGGACGCCTTTGCTGCTGCTGTCGAGGCAGCAGTTGAGGCGTCTCCCGCTGCTGCAGCAGCGCGAGCAGCAATTGGCTCTTCTTCATCCCCGCAGCAGCAGCAGCAGAGCCGCTCAGCAGCCACTCCACCGTCATCAACCCCAGCAGCAGCAGCAGCTGCAGCAGCAGCAGCTGCAGCAGCAGCAGCAGCAGCAGCAGCAGGCGTGCCTGCTGCGCTGCTAGGCGCAGCAGACCGAGTGAGCCTCGGGCTAATCCCCTCCAGCGAAAAGGCCTGGCCAACTGCTGTGGCGCTGCTCAGCAGCAGCAAAGGAGGCTTTCTGCACATCCACGGAGTGGAGCAGCAGCAGCTCGCGAGCAGCAGCAGCACACCCTCTTGCCTGTACATATACCCCCCAGCAGCAGCAGCAGCAGCAGCACCAGCGGCAGCAGCAGCAGCACCAGCAGCAGCAGCAGCAGCACCAGAAGCAGCTGCAGCAGCAGCACCAGAAGCAGCTGCAGCGGCAGCAGCAGCAGGACCGGCAGCGGCAGCAGCAGCAGCAGCAGCAGCGCCCGCAGCAGCAGCAACAGCAGAAGCTGTGAGGGGGAACTGCCGGCTAGGGGCTTCTTTGGCGTTTGCGCAGCACGTGCTGCAGCAAATTGGAAAGTTGGTGGCAGCAAAAGCAGCAGCAAGCAGCAGCCCGTGGCAGGTGTCTATACACCGTGTGGAGAAAGTCAAATCTTTTGCGCCAAAACTTTTCCATTTTGTTGTCGAAGTTGAAATAAAGCCTCTTCAGAACTAATTAATTAATTATTCATTTTTTTTATTTTTCTTCTTTTTGTTGTCCTTGCTGCTGCTGCTGCTGCTGCTGTTACTTTCATTGCTTTTGTGGTCTTATTGCATTTATTGTTGCCATTATTATTATTGCTATTATTATTTATTATTTATTATTTAGTATTTAGTATTTATTTATTATTTATTATCTATCGGAAGGTTCCTGGGGGAGTAAGGCTTTACAGCTGCAGCAGCTTCCCCCGCTGCTGCAGCAGCAGCAGCGCAGCCGCAGCAGCAGCAGCTGCTGCTGGGGCTGCCTGAAGGTTTCTTTCTTCTTGACTTCCTGTCGATCTGTTTTTTATTTATTCCTTTTTCTATTCTTTTATCTTAGCTCCTCGCCGTCTCTAGTCTTTAGCTTTTGCTGCTGCTGCTGCTGCTGTTGCTGCAACTGATGACTTCAGAAGTAGCAGCTGCTGCTGCAGCAACTAGTGAATTTAGCAGCAGCAGCAGCAGCGGCTGCTGCTGCTGCTGCAGCAAATAATAAACTTAGCAGCTAGTTAGCAGCGCTGCCTGAAGCACAAAGAGTTCTAAATAAATAAGGAAGTAAATAAATAAATGAATGAATAAATAAACAATCCAAATTTGTATTTTCCACTTTAGTTTTTTGAATCTTCGTGCTGTGCGTACACCCCGCGTGATCAGCTTATTCTTCTTCTCTGCATTTTCGCAAACCCTAAACCCTAAACCGTGGTTTAATTTTAATCGATTAATGCCAAAATAAAAAGAAATAAAAGCAAAAGAACATTTTATTTCATTAAAAAACAAAAAATAAACAAAATCATGAAAAGATCTTTTGCCAATTTGAAAAGCCCCGAGAAAGCGGCCGACGGCGGCCGCCAGTTGAGCTCTAGAGTTCACCATTTGGAGTAAAAAGTATTGAATAGAAAACAAATTGAAAATAAATTGAAAATAAACGAAAAATTGATGAAAAATAAATTAAAGTTGAATTGAATTCCCGGAAAACTCTGCGAAAAATCGGGAATCTTGAGAAGTTGAACTGTGAAAGGGGGGCCCCCGCTTTGGGGCTTCCCGCGCCCCACGGTGAAGTCTTCGTTTATATTTTGCAGAGCTTATGAAAAACGTTTTCTTTTGTTTGAATTAATTTCAAATTCATCTTTTTGTCAATTCCACGGGAGCCCGGGTTCCGGGGTTTGGGCGCGTGAGGGAGCGGGGCGTCGAGTGAGGCTTTCTCGCTGAACAAGCAAGCCCCGAGCTCGTCTTTTTTTCCGAAATTAAACATTATTCAATTCCTAAACACTATTCAGTTCTCAATTTCCGATTCGGCAGTTTCCTTTTCGCGCATTCTTCGTTTTGAATTCCCGAAGATCGCCGCGGGCGAAGCCTTCAGGTGTACGTACAGCTCGCCGCCTCGCTGCACATGACGCCAAGTTGAATCTTCATTTCATTTCTTTCTTTTTGGAATTCTCCGCGTCTGCTGGCCTTTTAGTTTCTTTTCGTTTCAAAACTCTTCCGGGGATTCATTTTGCAATTTTTGATCGAGACTTCTTCGGAATTCTTTTCTTTTTCTGTCTTTCCACCAAAATGTACTTCCCCTCCTTCGGCGGATCTTCTGCAGTTCCTTCCGCGGCGCTGCCAAATGCAATTCCCAAGAAAGAAGATGACGGCGAAAGCATAACAGGAAAATGTGAGGCGGATGCATTTCATTCATTTTACTTTATTTTATTCTTCCTTTTCTTCCTTTTGTCTGCACTTTTATTTTATTTTTCGTTCTCTTCTTCTTTCGTCTGCATTCTACTTACTGTGTTCTTTTTTTTCTTCTTTTTGTCCGCATTTTGTTTTCTCTTGTTTTTTCTTTTCTTCCTTCTTTCTGCATTTTCATTCTGTTTTATTCTTTCTTTTCTTCTTTCTGTCTGCATTTCACTTTATTTTAATTTTTCTTTTCTTCCTTTTGTCTTTTTTTCGAAATTAAAGAACTCCCTTTCTTCTCCTCATTTCCTCCTCTTAAACACAACTTCCCGGGCTTTCAATTCGCCTTTTATTTGCGCCTTTGTTTGCCCTTTTAAAAACAAAGAAATCAAGAAAATGCATTTTTCAACTTTTCCCATTTGCTGCTGCTGCTGCTCGTGCTGCTGCTGCTGCTGCTGCTGCACAAGCCGTTTTGAACTCCAAGCTTTGTTGCTGCATGCAAGTGTTCCTTTCAGCTCATCTAAATTGAATTTGAATTATTAATTTGAATTTGAATTAATTTGAATTTGAATTAATTTGAATTCAAATTAATTTGAATTTAAACCACTTTGAAATAATTTGAATTTGAAATAATTCAAATAAAGATGAATTCAAATGGGTTCAAATTAATTCAAATTCGAATTCAAATTAATTTGAATCTAAATCAATTTGAATTAATTTGAATTTGAAATAATTCAAATAAGGATGAATTCAAATGAGTTCAAATTAATTCAAATGCGAACAAACAAATCCCCACAAGTCCTTCACTTCAAATCCATTCAAATCCAAACTAATTGACCTAATTAACCCAATTCAGTCACTCTAATTAGTTGAATTAAATTAAATTAATTGAATTGAACTAATTATTTGATTTGATTTAATTTATTTAATTTAATTTATTTAATTTAATTAATTTGAATTTGTTTGCAGTCGACCCCTCTGCGCTGGAGAGAGGGGCGAAGGCGCTGAAGGAGCTCGACAGCAGCCCAAATGCTGCTCGGGCTTTTGAAGTCATTAAACTGCAGGAGCTTTCGAAGCAAAAGGAACTTCAAAAACAAATTGAACAGGTACTTGCTGCTGCTGCTGCTGCTGTCCGTCCTGCTGCTGCAGCTGCAGCGAGAGAGGCGCTCGGGCTGCTGCTGCTTGTGCAGCTGCTGCTGCTGCAGCAAGAGCGCCGCTCGGGCTGCTGCTGCAGCAGCAGCAGTCCAAATGCTGCTGCTGCTGCTGCTGCTGCAGCAAGAACCAGAGTCCAAGTGCTTCTGCTGCAACCGCTGCTGCAGCTGCAGCGTGCTTGCTGCAGCAGCACGTGCAGCAGCAGAACGGCTTTGAGCGCAGCAGCCCGCGTTTGAATTTGCTGCTGCAGATAGCAGCAGCAAGAGCGCAGGCGCAAACAGAAAGAACCAAAACTGAAGGCGAAGAGCGCAGAAAGACAATTGACCATCAGCAAGAACAAGAAAGAGTCACCGCGCAGTATAAGGCCAAACTCGAGGCGTCAGCAAACACTCTGCAGCAGCAGCTGCTGCTGCTGTGCTGCTGCTGCTGCTGCTTGTGTTGCTGCTGCTGCTGCTTGTGTTGCTGCTGATGGTGCTGCTGCTGTTGCTGCTCTTGATGTTGATGCTGCTGCTGTGTTTGATGGTATTGCTGCTGCTGCAGCTGCTGCTAGTGCCAACACTGCGAAGCACTTATCAGCCACTTGACGAAACACCCTTGAATTGGAGCTTTCTTTCATTCATTTATTATTTATTATTTATTTTCTAATTATTTAATTATATATTTTAAATTAATTTATTATTTATTTATTTTGGCTGCAGAGAAGCCTACCAGAAGAAGCTGCAGGACCAGCAGCGGCAAAACGAAGAATGGCTGCGGCAGCAGCACAAACAGTTTTTGCTGCAGGAGGAGCAGCGAAAGAAGACAGAAGCTGTAAACCCTAAACCCTAAAAGGGCGTTTTGCCCAAACCCTAAACCCTAAAAGCGCGTTCTACCCAAACCCTAAGCCCTCAGAAGTCCTTCTCCCCAAACCGTAAGCCCTCGAAAGTCCCCCATTCGGTTTTAAACGCTTCTCCTCTTTGCTGCTGCTGCTGCTGTTCCTGCTGCTGCTGCTGCTGCTGCTGAAGGAAATGCTGGAGATGCGGCGACAGCAGCTGCGGGAAGAAAAGGCTTTGGAGGAAAAGTTGCAAAAAGAGAAAATTCGCGAAGAGGCAAAAGGCCGCATTTTGCAAGAAAGAGAAAACATTGATGTCCACCTCAGGTCTTCTTTTCTAATTCCCTTTTCTAGGGTTTAGGGTTTAGGGTTTGGGGTTTGGGGTGTAGGGTCTGGGGTTTAGCGTAAAGGCTTGCACTCCAGGCTGAGGAATTCAGCACTCCCCATTCACTGTCTAGGACTTCAGGGTTCAAAGGTCCAGGATTTAGGGTTTAGGGTTTAGGGTTTAGGGTTTAGGGTTTAGGGTTTAGGGTTTGCTGCAGGGCCATGCGGGCCCGCGCCGCGGAAGAGCGGAAAACAAAACTGGAAAGTTTGGAAAAGACTTTCGGCTCCTTGGGGGCCGCCTTTTCTGCACTGTTGGCGGACAAGGCCAAGTTGACAGCTTTGGTTCGTTTTTTTGTTTTTTTGTTGTTGTTTTAAAACCCTTTTAAAGGGTTTTAAGGGGTTTTAAATGGTTTTATTTTGTTTTATTTCGTTTAATTGCTTTTATTTGGTTTTATTTGCATTTTTTTTCGTTCAATTTGATTTAATTTTGTTTACTTTCGTTTTGCTTCTTTTCGCCTTTTCTGCACTGTTGGCGGATAAGGCCAAGTTGACGGCTTTGGTCTGTTTTTCGCTTCATTTTAATTTAATTTATTTTATTTATTTTATTTACTTTAATTTTATTTTATTTTATTTTATTTATTTTAATTCATTTTTGTTCATTTTAATTCATTTTAAGTCATTTTAATTCATTTTAATTTATTTTAATCCGTTTTAATTCATCTAATTGAATTGAATTGTGTTTTGCATTGTTTTGTTGAATTGCATTTATTTGCATTCATTTGCACTTTGTTTCATTTGATTTCTTATTTCATTTAATCTCTTTTGTTTCATTTAATTTCTTTTATTTCATTTAATTTCTTTTATTTCATTTAATTTCTTTTAACTCCATTTAACTGTAAACAGCCCCTTACTAAACTGAGAAAGTTCTTTCTCATGGGAGGCTGCTGTTGTGCCTCACTGCTAGGGTTTAGGGTTTAGGGTTTAGGGTTTAGCGCTTAGGGTTTACGTACGCTGCAGGTGGGCAGCGTAACGGCCCTCGCCGCCGGCATTTACGGGGCCAGAGCAGCAGCTTCGATTGCCGCCCGATATGTTGTAAGTCGAGGGTTTAGGGTTTAGGGTCTAGGGTTTAGGGTTTAGGGTTTAGGGTTTAGGGTTTGTTGTTTTGTGGGGGTTCTGTTTCTCAGGAAAGCAGGATCGGGAAGCCGCCACTTGTCCGCGAAACCTCCCGCTGGACCTTCTCCGTAAGAAATGGTTTAGGGTTTAGGGTTTTGGGTTTAGGGTTTAGGGTTTGGGAATTTTTTAAAACCCAGGCCCATCACAAACCCTCTGGAGGCGCAGCTAACCACCATTTGCCTAACAGGCCTTTAAATGCCTCAAATTAAAATTAAGTTAAGTTAAATGAATTCAAATGAATTCAAACTACTTCAAATTAACTCAAATTGGCTCAAATTTATTCAAATTAGATCCAATTAGTTACCTTTTACTCCGAAAGACTCCAATTAATTGCAGTTAATTCCAATTAAATCAAATAAATCCAACAAAATCCAATTAAACTGAATAAAATCCGAACAAATTGGGTCAAAGCGGGCCAAAATGGGTGCAGCAAAAGGCCCCGGCTGCATGCGCATGCGCCTCAGGGTGGCCCCTTCTCGCTGCTGCGCCCGTGGCGCCCCCGGGGGGCCCCCCAAACAAAAGAAAATATAGTTTTGGAAAAAGATTTATTTCAAAAGTTGGAGTTTTCTAAAAACTCCCTTTTGACCACTAAAGCCCACAACAGCCACTTCCGCCACTTGCTGCTGCACGGGCCCCCCGGCACTGGCAAGACCCTCTTTGCCCGCACGTGAGATTTATTTTATTTATTTATTTATTTATTTGTTTGTTTGTTTGTTTGTTTGCTCATTTGTTTGTTTTTGTTTCTTTTTGTTTATTCTGCCGTTCTTTGCTGTTTTGGGTTTTCTTTTGTGCGCTTTTTGGGGGACTGGGGCGTTTTGCTGCGGTGGAGGGGGCTGGATGGGTGGCTAGCTAGCTAGCTAGCTGGCTAGCTGGCTAGCTCGCTGCTATTTGGCTAGCTAGCTAGCTAGCTGGCTAGCTGCTAGTTGGTTGGCTAGCGAGCAAGCTAGCGAGCTAGCTAGCTGGTTGGCTGTTTGCCCAGCTGGCTAGCTAGCTGGCTAGCCAAATATCCAGCTAGCCAGCCAGCTTGCTAGCTAGCTAGCTAGCTAGCTAGCTGTCTAGCTAGCTAGCTAGCAAAGCAGCCAGCACTTTACTATTTGTCTTGTTTGTTTTATTTGCTTTTATGCCTTTCAGTCTAAAGTGCATTTCTTTCATCTGCAAAAACATTTCTTCTTTTCTTCTATTTCCATTTGTCTTCTTTGAGCTCTATTTTGTCTATTTTTTCTCCTCTTTTTCTCCTTTTTCGTCTTTTTAGATGCTTTTGAAGTCCCTTTTTTGTGGAGAGCTTTTCAAATGTTTAATTATGAAGTTCGTGATTAAATTGGATTTTAAATTTCGAAATTTGGTTCGGATTTGCTGCAGTTTGGCGCGGGAGTCGGGGATGGACTACGCAATAATGACGGGGGGCGACGTGGGGCCCCTGGGGCCCCTGGGGGCCTCCGAAATTAATAAATTATTTAATTGGGCTCAGAAGAGTAGAAAAGGATTAATTCTTTTTATTGATGAAGCTGACGCTTTCTTGCGGCAGGGGCGTGCTGCAGCAGCAGCAGCAGCAGCAGCAGCAGCGCCTGCTGCAGCAGCAGCAGCAGCAGACATGAGCGAACACTCCAGAAACGCCCTTTCCGCTTTTCTCCACCACACAGGAACGGAAACCAACAAGTTTTGTCTTATTCTCGCAACTAATTGCAAGGAAATCCTCGACAAAGTGAGTTTTTCAATCCAGTTAAACCCTAAAAAGTGTTTCCACTCCCAAAATCCGAAATTTCAAAAGGGTTTTGTCTTATTCTCGCAACTAATTGCAAAGATATCCCCGACAGAGTGAGAATTTTAATCCAGTTAAACCCTAAATAGTGTTTTACATCTAAATGAGGATTATTTTAAGCCCGAAAAAGTGTTTTGACTCGAAAATGCGGAAAAGGCAACCCTAAAACGTGGTTTACATCGAGAGAAAAACCCTCAAATGTTCAATATGCATTTTGTCTTATTTTTGCAACTAATTGCGAAAAAGTCCTCGATAAGGCAAGAATTGTAATAAAACTAAACCCTAAAAAGTGGTTTAAATGAAAAACGCAGATCATATAACTCTTGAAAGTGTTTTAATTAGAAAAAAATAAAACCCTAAAAGATGGTTTAAGTCAAAAAAACCCCAAAACTTCAAATCACTTTACCTTATTCTGGCCACACCTAAATAATTAGTTTAATTTACTTATTTAAGCAGCAGCAAAGCATAGAAGCAGCAGCACCAGCAGCGGCAGCACCAAAGCAGCAGCAGCAGAGCAGCAGCAGCAGCAGCAGCAGTTTAATTTACCTGCTGCTGCTGAGCGCTACAAAATGCTGCAGCAGTTCATGGACAGGTATATCCGCAGCCGCAGCAGCAGCAGCAGCAGCAGCGGCAGCAGCGGCAAGAGCAGCAGCAACAGCATTGTTGTTGATGAAAGAATAAATGACGAATTTCTAAAAGATGTGGCGGACAAGACAGAAGGCTTTTCGGGAAGACAACTTGCAAAAGTAATTCATTTATTTTTATTTGATTATTTAATTTAATTTATTTAATATTTAATTTAATTTATTTTAATTCATTTAATATTTAGTTAAATAATTTAATTAATTTAATTAATTTAATTTAATTTAATTTAATTTGTTTTAAATTATCAAACAGACAGCAAATAATGAATTTGTCAAACACACATTATACTCACAAATCATTGACCACTGATTCATATGAACTTGTCGCTTCTGCTGTTCTTGCTGCTGCTGCTGCTGTTCCTGCTGCTGCTGCTGCTGCTGTTCCTGCTGCTGCTGCTGCTATTCCTGCTGCTGCTCCCACTGTTGTCCCCGCTGCTGCTGCCATTCCCTCCGTTGCTGCTGCTGCTGTCCCTGCCACTGCCACTGCTGCCATTCCCGCTGCTGCCGCCCTGCCGCTGCTGCTGCTGCTGCTGCTGCTGCTGCCGCAGCTGGTGCTTGCAATGCAAGCTGCTGCTTATGGCTCTGGAACGAACGCGTTGACTTTGGGGCTGGCGGAAGCAGTTTTGAAGTGGCGGCTGAAGTCCCACAACGAGGAGCAGCAGAAGCAGCAGCACTAATTAATTAATTAATTAACTTAATTCAATTAATTAATTAATTGGTATTTATCATTTATGCAACTGCTGGTCGTCTGCTCGCTGCTGTCGAGGAGAGAACGAGAAGCGAACGCTCCGGAACGGCAGCAGCAGCAGCAGCAGCAGCAGCAGCGGCAGCAGCAGCAGCAGCAGTAGCAGCGCGCAGTTGCTGCTGCTGCTCTTATTTTGGCGCCCATTTAGAGACCCCCAAGGGGCACTTCTGCAGCAGCTGCTGCGAAGGCCGCAACAGCAACGGCAACAGCAGCAGCAGCAACAGCAGCAGCAGCAGCACGTGCTGCTGCTGCTGCCAGGCGGACCCCACCACAGCTTGGGGCCTTTTGTTGGTCTCTGTCGTTTTTTGATTTGTTACACTGCCTCTAAACCCTAAACCCTTTTAGCATTTTCTTACACTGCCTCTAAACCCTAAACCCTTTTAGCATTTTCTTCACTGCGAAACCCTCAGGAATACCTTTTATGCCTAGTTCTTAGCTGTAACTAGCTGCAGCTAGCTGCAGCTAGCTAGAGCTAGCTACTGCTGTAGCTGTGGCTAGCTGGGCACTTCCTGCTCGCAAAGAAGTGGCTAGCTAGCTAGCTAGCTAGCTAGCCACTCCTTGGCGAGCTACATGGGTCACAGCTAAGGCTGTAGCTAGCCAGCTGGATGTGGCTAGCTAGCTAGCTAGCCAGCTAGCTAGCTATTCCAACTATGTAGCTATTAAGCTACTTAGCTAGCTAGGCATTTTGACTAGCTAGCTAGTAGCTAGCTAGCTAGCTACCTAGCTAGCTAGTTGTGCGTCGTTTTGCCGAAGAGTTGGACTTAAATTGATGGAAATGAATAAACTAATTAATTGTAATGTTTAAATTCACTACTAAGTGTTGCAGAAGAAACCTAAAATAAAAATGAGGAAATTCGATCAAAAAGAGAAACAGAAAAAAGCAGGTCTGGGGTGTACAGACAGCTGCGAGGCTGGGGTGTATGCGCAGACACCTGAAATCGGCGGGCGATGAATGCAAGTTTGAGCTCATTTTAATTGCTTTAAATGCACAATTAAATGCATTTTGCAATTTAATTATAATTATAATTATTAATTGCAACTGGAGAAAGGCATTTGCTGCATCATTAGCTCAATTTCGTCTTCCCGGCGCCCGTTTCTTCTGCTGCTGCTGCAGCAGTTGCTGCTCCTGCTGCACTTGCTGCTGCTCGAAGCCTTTTAAATAAAACCCAAAGCCAATTTAAATGCGAAGTGGAAAAGATTGGCCAAACAGAAAAAGAAAAGAACTTTCTTTTCATTTGAATTCCCAAGAAATTCTACTTGCTTTTCCAGAATTCAAATTATCCTTTTCGCCAATTCAAACCACTTTTATTTACACTTCAAGTGCCTTTTTGCTGCAGCAAAAGAGCCACTTCTCAGCAGCAAAAGTGCCACGGGAAAAGCCGCTTTTGCCTTAAAGCCGAATGGGGGAATTTGGAAATAATTAAATTAATTTAAATTCCACTTTTACCTTATTGAAGCTGCTTCAGCAGCAATTAATGATTTGCATTTGCAGTGCCTACTTGGCTGCTGCTGCTGCTGCAGCCGCGCAGCAGCAGCAGCAGCAGCAGCAGCAGCAGCGGGGCTAGCAGCAGCCTCTCCGTTGTCTTTGTTTGCTCGTTTCTTTTCGAATTCCCTCAAATGCAATTAAACCTTTTCTTTCTTTTATTCTTTTTGTCTCCTTTTCAACTTGCTGCTCTGCCGCAGAAGTTTGCTGCTGCAGCCACGGGCAAGACTCCGCCGTGCAGTTGTACTGTGTCTGTACACCCCAACGCAGCAGCAGCAGCAGTAGCAGCAGAAAAGCAGCAGCAGCAGCAGCGGAAACGGCAGCAGCAACAGAGCAGGCAGCAGCAGCAGCAGCAGCAGCGAGAGAGAGAAGCAGTGGCAGTTAGAGGAGCAGCAGCAGCAAGAGAAGCACCAGCAGCAGCAGCAGCAGCAACAGCAGCAAAGGAGTCATTTATTAAGATTTTGTCACTGATTCATTATCTTTTAAAAGATTTTAAAAGATTAATATTTTAAATTTATTCCCTTTTAAATTAAATTAATTAAAAGGAGTGTACGTACAGTCCAGCAGCAAAAGTGAAATGCTGCAGTGAATTAATTTAGGGTGTAACTACAGCTCGATTAATTAATAAAACAAATTCCAATTTATTTATTCATTTATCTATTTAACTATTTAATAGATCAATTTAATATTTATTATTTATTTATTTATTTAATTACTTAACTGATTGAGATCAGCAGCTGGTTATTAATAAATTAAGGTAGAGTAGAAACATACACTAATTAGATTTTAATTAATTAAATTAATTAATTAAATTAATTAATTTATTTATTTTTTTTTAATTTATTTATTATTTTATTTATGTATTTATTTATTTATTCATTTATTTGTTACCTGTAGAATGTAAGGCATGGACTCCTTGATGCTTTGGTACATAGCAGCAGCAACTAATTTGTTAAGTTCATTTGTGTCCACTTCTGTTGCAGTTTGCTGCTGCTGCTCGCCTGCAGCAGCAGCAGCTGCTGCTGCTGCAGCAGGAGCCGTGCTGCTGCTATCGTAGGCGTAAGACCAAAACACAGGGCCCGTGCTGCTGCAGCTCCCCAAGCTGCTGCTGCTGCTGCTGTAGGCGGAAGTGCCTGCAGCAGCAAAGAAAGCAGCAAAGAAGCAAAAGAGATCACAAAAAGCAGCAGCAGCAGCAGCAGCGGCAGCAGCAGCGGCAGCAGCAGGGACCGTGCTTCTGCTGCTGCTGCTGCTGCTAATGCTGCTTCTGCTGCTGCTGTTGGCAGCAACTCGAGCCAACTACTGAGCCACACAGCAGCAAAAGCCGTGAGGAGCAGCAGCCTCGCGAGACCTCCGCGCGGAAACCACAAATTAGGGTTTATAGAACCAGTTACAGGCTAAAAGGGAAATTGAAAAGAAATTAAAAGGAATAAAACTAATGGAATTAGAAGAATCGGAAAGTGGAGCAGCAGCAACGGCTAGTCGGCTGCAGCGAGCATACCTGCGATCTGCGGCTGCATGGCGGCGAAAGAAGAAAAAGAAGAAGGGAAGTAAAAGTAAAATGAAAATGAATAAATACAACACCAAATGAAGAAACAAAAGAACAGAAATACTCGAAAGAAGGCGAGCAGCAGCAGCAGCAGCAGCAGCAGCGCGACCGATGCTTCCGCCGCCACCAACACGCCCGCGAGCGATACGCCGTAAAATCCCGCGCAAATGGTATTTTATTTCATTTCCAACTTTGCTTTTTAATATTCTTCTCTATTTCAGTCGAAATTCCCCAAATTTCGCAATTTTAGCGCCGCTTTCCACCCCGGGAAGTCGCGGGCGAGGCGCCCATGGTCGCCGCCGCCGAGGGGTGTAGAGACACCCCAACGCAGCCTCCCCAGGGCCGCCTTTTACTTTTCAAATTTCATTTTATTTTAATTTCAAATATTTAAATAAATGAAAACTAATTTCTGCGATTTCCCCGCAGCGCTTTGCGCCGCCCGCGCCTCCAGAAATCCCGCTTTCCGGAACTCGAACTGCAGCGAAAGCAGCGGAGTTCGCCGGAAACTGGAAGAATTGAAGGGATATTTTGAATGGATTTGAATGAATAAAAGTAATTTAAATAAATAAAAGTAAATTTAAATAAATAAAAGTAAATTCAAATCCATGTCGTCTTCTCATTTCCCGAATATTCAGCTTTCCGGTCTCCCAAGTGTATTCATGAATTCCCAACGCATGCAAGAACTTGAACTATTCAATTTGCAAAAATATTAAAAAGTTTATTTCTTTTGTTTTGCAAAAGATGCAGCAAAGTCCACTTTGCAAACGACTGGAAATAAAACCTAGCTCCCCATTTGCTTGGTAACTAAACCCTAAACCCGAAACCCTAAGCCCTAAACCCTGAAACCTACACTGGACTCGCATGAATTCGAAGCATACGAAACGGAGTAAACGAATGAATAGTGAACATTCAATAAAAAGAGAAATAAATAAATAAATAAATGTGAATAAGAAGATAAATAAATAAATGTGAATAAAAAGATAAATAATTGTTTTATTTCTTCCTTTGTTTTCATTTGACCTGCTTAGTAAACTGAGTTTCGGGTGTACGGACACCTCAGCCATGAGCACAAACCACGCCTGAGGTTTTGGGAGCACTTGTTTGCCTATCAATTCTGCTGCTGCTGCTGCTTCTGCTGCCGCTGCTGTTGCTGCTGCTGCTGCTGCTGTTGCTGCTGCTGCTGCTGCTGTATTGGGCACACTTCATTATTCGCGGCGGCTGCTGCTGCTGGGAATATCCCCTGCTGTTTGCACAACGTCATAAATGGGTATCTCGCGGCTGCAGCACGCCTCACAGCCAAATCGAGGGTTTAGGGTTTAGGGTTTAGGGTTTAGGGTTTTAATGGGCCTGAGGGGTGCTGAGCCTCCGCAGCAAAGCTAGGGTTTACGCCACTGCTGTGAAGACCTGGCTAGGGTTTAGGGCCTGCGTTTCTCTGCCAGCCATTAGGGTTTAGGGTTTAGGGTTTAGGGTTTAGGGTTTGTATTTACTTGGGGGGGTTTCTTCTTTTTATAAAGCTGTCCGTCAGCCAGTACTGAAGAGAGTTCATCACTAGAGGCGTCGCCACCATCACTACAAACTGCACACAAAACGAAACCCTAAACCCTAAACCCTAAACCCTAGGCAAGAGGGATTCAGCGTGGTAAGCAAGCAGGCCATAATACGCTGCCGCTAAACCCCTTGGAAGCGTCTAAAGCTTAAGGTTTAGGGTCTAGGGTTTGGGGATTAGGGTTTAGGGATTAGGGTTTGGGGTTTAGGGATTAGGGTTTAGGGTTTAGAGCGGCGTCGCTGTTTTTCTTACCAGCTTTGCATTTGGATTTGCGTCAAGGGAAGCCCTGCAGCACGCTCAAACCCTAAACCCTAAACCCTAAAC